AACATTCTTTGCCAAAGTTCATGATTTTAGGTTGCCGTTTTTTTCAAAATGAATGGTTTGACGGCCACGAAGTTATGGGCAGATCGGAAAAACAGTGACTTTTCTGACAGGTATAACGTATTATTTAGCCAATGTACGTTGCGAATTATTGACATTTGTGATAGGCTGTACGCATGAATAAATATTTGATTGATCTGCATTTAGTGGGTTTTGACTGTTTTTCAACTGGCGCGCGGAAGAAAATTTAGTGGTGAACAATAAAGACAATAGAGCTCGGAACTATCGGTCTGATAGTTGCCCCTTGGAAATTTGATGTTCTTAAAACTAGCATATTAGCCCTTGAAGCTTCGCCTCTCGGGCAAATATTTGTTTTAAGAACATCAAATTTCCGCGGAGCAACTATCAGCATACCTGCCAACTCTCCCGGTTTTCCCGGGAGTCTCCAAGTTTTTCATCAAATCTCCTGGTCTCCCGGTTAGAGCACCAAATCTCCCGGGAAATACCTAACGTGGCTTTTTTTCAATTTTTTTTTCATCAATTTCGTTATTTTCGAGAATCCAAAAAGGAAAATAAAACAAGAAGTGGATTTAGTGCTCTTATTTGAGCTGTTCTCAATCGGAAAACATCGGAAAACGGGAAACAGAGCGATCAAATCGATATATATTTAACGAGGATCGTAATTGGTCAGAAATCAACCAATCCAATCGCACAATACATGGAAGAAAGTTGGCGCGGTTTTCGCACGCTGTTTACACTCGAAGCGAAGATTGCTAGCATGGATTTCGGTTCGCTGCAAAAAGAATTCTTAGGTGCCCTTCCCTCGGGCTTTGAGGGAGTGAGGAGACTTGCTTCGCAGAAAGTGAAAGAGATTCCTCTAGTTGACGTCCAGCCATCAGTAAACACTCGAGGTAAGCTACTTTTGCGGTTTTTTGAAAATTCAAGCGCTTTGAAATGTGAGCGGGTCAGAGCTGCAAGTCGCGATGTCAAACAGTTTTAAATTAATAAAACTTCACTTCTGAAAAATTCATGGATTGGAAACTTTAGGCACTAGGAAAAGGATTTGAGGGCCTAATGTTTCCAATTCGTGGATCCTGCAGAAGCACAGTTTAAGAATATTATTTAAAATCAGATTTCCATTTAAACTTTGTTATTTTTAGACCTGTTTTCCTTCTTATTTTTTCCGATGGAAAGTTAAAGAGAATCCAAAGGATTTCAGGTACAGAAATCGACTGCTTGCTGTCTAAATACGAACGTGTGAAGTTCATTGTGTCAATGATTTGCTAAATTTGTTCGATCTGGGACTTATAGTGGCGGTAATGCACGGTGAAATTTAGTACAAAGAAAACAGGCGCACGGGGTTTGCAAAATCTGCCCGTTTGCCGTATAAGGCCAAGTAAAAAAAAA